CCCTCGCAGCTAGTTGTTTTGTATAAAAAAATGGTGAAAATTGTTGCTAACTGGGGTTTTTCCACGTGTGTTTATTGTGAAATTGGTCTTAAATTTAATTTCAAGTGGCATTAAAGAGGTCTTAAAAAGTCTTAAATTTAACTTGCCTTAAACTGGAGGAACCCTGTTTTGACAACATCTAGTAAAAAAATGAATCAAATTGATCTTTTTAAAGACACTCCCTTAATTGTTCCACAATTTGATTCCCAAATCTGTTCAAAACATTGTAAGCCTCGTGTGTTAAAGATCCATAACACTATTAACAATCTTTTTGTTTTTGGTCTTAAAAACCATTTTTTAAGTCCGATAAGTGGTTTCTGTCTCTGCTCTGGTCCTGTCAGGTTTTTTGCGGGGGGCTCAGAGCGCAGTGGGCAGCAGATTGTTGGACCTCCAAAGAAAAAGAGCTCCAATGAAGTGGTGGAGGATCTGTTCAAAGGGGCCAGAGAACACGGCGCCGTGCCTCTGGACCGGGCCGGGAAAGGACCTGGAGAGTCCAGCAAAGCAAAGGTAGAACAAAGCAGAGGAAGTTTAGTTTGTTTTATCTTGTACCTTTTTGTTTTAGTGTCAGACTTTTCCGCAAGAGTCTGATGCACGTTTAAGTAACTCATCCTAATCTGTCATCTTTTTATCRTTTTTGTTTTCATGTGAAATGTTCTGGTGGTTTGGAAGGCGTTTGTTGGTGGAGGTTACAGACTGGGAGCAGCTCCTGAGGAGGAGTCAGCGTACGTAGCAGGAGAGAGGCAAGCCTCCAACAGTCAGCAAGATGTGAGTTCAGATCCTGGTTCCCGTTTTTGTGTTTTAGTCTTTGATTTGTGTGTTTTTCCTCCTGGGTTTCTGATCAGGTTAATTTACCAGGCTGTGTTTGCAGCTCTAAAGTAAGACGAAGCCAAACAGGAAGTGATGAAAACTTCCAGTTATTCTAATCCTGAGTGGAGTCACAAGTTTGTGGACAAGAAGGAAGAAGTGCATGAATGTAATTCTTTAACTTAATCAAAACGATGGCCTCGTTTAGGGATGAGTCCAGGTTTTCTCAAACCAAGTATCGGTATTAGTACTTCAGTTTGGGTACTTACTTAGTTAGAACTTCAACCCATTATTTTTATTTAGTGCCTGGCACTGGATCAGGTTCATGTCTGATGTTTTTCAAAGCGACCTGAGTCTGAACGCTCTTGTCTTTTTATGCTAAAGTTACCGCCTTGATATTTTAGTCAGTTCTGCTTCCATCAGTCCTAACCCATGCTGCACAGGAGCAGCCGGCCAGATGCAGGTTCACATGTGTAAACTGAACCAAACAAGCATGTTGGATAATTATTTAATCTGCTCTGATTACACAACACTTAGCCTCAACATGCTAACACGTAGCATTCATGCTAGCTTCTGTAAACGGTGAGCTGAATGTGACCTCACGTCTTCCTCTGTACATGTGGGACGCATCGACGGCACAAAGTGTTCATGATGGTCACATTTAAAATCTAATGTGATGCCAAATAAATAAATAATAATAATAACAATAACAATAATAATAATAATAATTGGTATTGGGGCATTCTGAATGATTACCACTAGCATCATTATGTTGGTAATCTGTGTGCTGCTATAAACAAGGGCAGTTATTTGTTACATCGAACTATCTGGTTGTAAAAACTCATTGTTAAAATAACCACACTCACCTTTCCTTCTCTYGTCATCAAGAGAAAAGTACTGGGAGGTATAATTGTTTATTTATCTTTGTAATCCCTCACTGGATGCCTGGTTTTCTGTCATTTATCACTAATGTGATAACTCACCATTTACATGGATGCATTTGAACACGACGGTTAATAAAAGCATTTTACCCTGATCTATAAGGTAGTAACTAAAATAAATAAAACAGTTGGTATTATAGTATATAATCAACTTTTGTTTAGTCACACTGTTCACATGTTAAATGCTTTAAAAGGTTGTTTTATTCTTCCACAATGCAACAGGGATGCTGGACAATGAGAACATGGAATTCCCTTCCTTAGTCGTTTTTAAATATAACAAATGTTAGAGCTTTTAAAAGAGCATTGCTTAATTATTGTCATGTAGAGTGTTATAATTGCTCATTTATGAATTGATATACTACGTTCTTAATGTAATATTAAGTGTTTGTAAATGTAATTGTTTTTGTAATGTTTGTTTTGCTTTTTTTTAAGGACCCCAGGAAGAGTAGATATTGTTACAGCAATGGCTAATGGGGATCCAAATAAATAATAATAATAATAATAATAACTGACACAGTTGTCCTCACTGGAGCTCAGGTTTAAAGTGAGACCCTCGTGTTTCCTGTCAGGTCCACGTGGTTCTGAAGCTGTGGAAGACGGGCTTCAGTCTGGATAACGGAGAACTCAGAAACTACAGCGACCCTGAAAAYGCCAACTTCCTGGAGGCGATAAGAAGAGGGTAAGATGAGTTAAACTCTGTTTGTTCGAGGAGGCGGGGCTGAATGTAAATATGTACACAAGTCATCAGGTGTGTGTACAAGTACTGAGAAAAGTATCGAGGCCTCTGCTCATCTGATTTAGGGAGATTCCTCTGGAGCTGAGGCAGCGGTCTCGAGGAGGCCAAGTCAACCTGGACATGGAGGACCACAGAGACGAGGACTTTGTCAAACCCAAGCTGGCCTTCAAGGCCTTTGAGGGTGAAGGGCAGAAGTTAGGAAGGTGAGGATGTGACAGTTCTGTTTGATTGAAGTCATAAAACCCGTCTAACCGGTTCTCTTTGTTCCTCGTCATCCAGCGCCACCCCCGAGCTGACGTCGGCTCCGTTCCTGTCCCAGCAGGACCAGGCCGCCAACGAGGCTCAGGCCAGCTCCTCCGTGAGCCTCGACCCGTCCCAACCCACAACTAACATTCAGATCCGACTGGCTGATGGAGGCCGGCTGGTCCAGAAGTTCAACCATACCCACAGGTGATTCATGGACTCTTTTTACCTTTTCATAAAGGAATCCAGAGCTGTAAAGTAACTAAGTATAAATACTTTACTTTTTTATTTTATTTATTTAACCTTTATTTTACCAGGCAGAACATAAAGAATAACTTCTTATTTACAGTATCAGCCTGGAACTGTACTGAAGTAGAATTTTTGAGTATCTGTACTTTACTTGAGTAATTATTTTTCAGCCTACCTTTTACTTACAAAAGGCAAGAAGTAGAAATTTGTTACTTTTATTAAATTTTTGTTTGTTTTCATTCCAGCTTATTGTAAAAAATAAAAACTATCCATATAAACTGAGCCTCCTAGATAGAGTGAATTTAACTGGTTGAATGAGAAGTATAAATATATAAAACTCTGATAGTGTATTAGTTTGTACACAAACAAATCATGTCACACTCCAGCAGGACAGAATCATTCAAATAAAAGGACTGTACTTAAGAAGTATTTGTATTTCATGAATTATATTCTTACATTTGGCCGCAGCCCTCAGATAGATTTTCATTTTGGGGAAAAGCTTTGTGCAGCCTTGATATATGTATATAAACTGAAACAGCTGGACTAGTGCATCCTAAATTTAACATCCATTCATTCTTTTAATACAACAGTCATTTCTGCAGTTTTTGGGGAGGTCACCTCCTAATAAATGTCCTTACAGAAAATCTAACTGCTCATTTTAAATCGTTACTTTGACTTTTAATAAAGTACAAAAATATCAGGTACTTTAAGACTTTTACTCAAGTAATATTCCTAAAGGAGACTTTAACTTTTACCAAAGTAATTTTTTGGTAAGATACTTGTACTACTGAAGTATCACTTTGTGGTACTTTATACAACACTGACTGAAACATTAGACAAATGTCTGAACAGCTGAACCAGCCGAGCTGAGAGACTTAGAGTTAAAATGAGTAAAAAACCAGAAGCTGCTGACAGTTCAGTTGTTTTTCCCTCACTAAGCTGAACGGTTCTTGTGCACCTCAGGGTGTCGGACCTGCGGCACTTCGTGGTGGCGGCCCGGCCCGCCATGGCCGCCCGGGAGTTTGTTCTGATGACCACCTTCCCCAACAAGGAGCTGATGGACGAGAGCCTGACGCTGCAGCAGGCCAACCTCCTCAACGCCGTCATCGTGCAGCGACTAAAGTGAGGCTGGGACCTCAGGAGCTCCGCCCCCTCCTCCTCCTCCTGCGGCGACGACACGGAGCACCTGCTCCCCCTCCCAGCGAGGCAGGAGAAAACAGACTTACGTATGGACTTCTAGTTTCTGATTTTTGTTTTTCTAAAATAAAACGTCAAAATTCTCCCCTCGCACCACGGCTCTGTCCTCTGAGAGGGACCCAGAGGACACAAACCTGTCTCATCTGTCCTCCTCAGAGAGTCCCTTTGAACTGTTGTTTTTCCTGTTAAACAATCTGACCCTGGAGCAATGTTTACTGTCAGGACAGCAGCTGACTTCTTTTTTTTCTGTCTAAACTGCACAAAACCCAGCTACGAGTCGTATCAGAGCTGTGTTTTTTTTTTTTTTTTTAGGTTTCCATAGATAACACAAAGTAACAAGGTTTTTAGTTTCTTTCCCTTTTAACCAACAGATACCTGTAGCCTTACTCTCCTGTGTTGGAACCACACCTGTCCTTTTGTTGAACAGCAGATGGATTTATTTTTTTATGCTGCCTTTGTTCCCCTCGCTTCCTTTTCTCTCGCCTCATTGGTCCCGGTTCCACGGCAGCGTTTTGATACAGACCGGTGTAGAACCAGCGACACGCGGCTCGATTATCAAACTGCAGCTGGAGCAGAAGAACATTTAAAAACGTAAACACTGGTTTAATTTAGAAGTTGTTTTCCTGTAACACTGACATCTTCTATGCATCCTCGGGCAACACAGAAATATGTTTAGACCTCTGATAAAATAAAGTCATTTTATGGTTGATGTATAAAGAACTTAAGTCGTGTGTGTTTTTATGTTCTATTTTCCACTTCCATCAGAGTAGAAATCTAAGCGAACATGAGGACAGGAACTGGGATTTGTGTTCTTTTTTACTGGATCAATATTAGATTTTATTTTTCAGTTTTTGTGTGGAGACATTATTTACTTTTCAGAAAACAGAAAGAAAAGAAAAACACTCATCCTGCACAGCTTCTATAAGCAGCGCTTCAGGCGTTTTCAAAATAAAAGCATGCAGGCTACCTAATTTTTCCATAAATATTTTTTCTACTCACGTTTTTGTGCGTGGCAGTTTGAGGCACTTTCCCTCTGACCTTCACTGTGTTTATATGTATAGTTTTTTGACAACGTAAAACTTTCATAACAAGGGAGTTCCTCTCCAGAACTCACTGTTTGAGCTGCCAGGTTCTTCCTCGATTTACTGCCATCATCACTACACAGCAATACTACCAGTAATCTCTAGATTTATCTTGCTGAAAATAATTTTACTTATTTATTTATGTACTTGCCTGTCTTTCTGATGTGACCAAAATGTGATATTTTAAATTATGGCTTTTAAGTTCTTCTAACATCTGAAGTACCATGTAAGTTTTGTAAGTACCGGTAATTACTTCATTATACAACCCAACCCTCATGGGTATCAAGCACTTATTTGGTATGTACTTGGTACTAGTTATGAAACAAGTATCCAGTATGTACCTGATAATTCAGGATAATAAGTCACTTCATAATGTACTCTGGTCCTCATGGTACACTGTAGGTACTAGTTAAATACTAAAAAGTAAGGAAATCAGTGTTTGGTAGATTAGTTGTTGTAACAATGCTTCTTGGCAAAATAATAATAATAATAATAATAATAATAAAAACCCTGTTAATGTCCCTTTAAATGGAGCCACATTTGTAAGGAACATGCATTTGTGGGATGAGTAGTAGAGCTGAGTATGTGGGTTGCACACATGAAAAAAAACTTACTTTTTTGTGATCAATATAACTAGATCCCCTGTAAATATTAGATATGTACCATGTACGTAAATTAGAACAAATAACTTCAAAGTGGTGCACAGAGGTCTAAAGTATTTGGGAAAAAAAATACTAAGAAAAAGTAAAATTACATGAACAGAACTTTGGTAAAAATAAATTTCACTGATGAGTAAACTACTCAAGTAAAAGTCACAAAACTGTTCACAAAAATTGGGAAAGTAAAAGTACTTTGACACACTCTAAGAAATAAACTGTTGAATTTACTGAAGCAAACTGGCTCTAAGCCTAGCTCATATATAT